AAAAAAAAAAAAAAAAAAAAGGGCTGGGGAATGTGGCTCAATGGTTCAGTGCCCCTGAGTTCAATCGCTGATACAAAATAATAATAATAATAATAATAATAATAATAATAATAATAATACACATGGCTCAGTGGTAGAGTGCTTGCCCAGCATACATGAGGCCCTAGGTTCAATCCCCCAAACGAAAGCAAAACAAAAAAAGCTTTAAAACTGAACAAGGGGCTGGGGAATATAGCTCAGTTGGTAGAGTGCTTGCCTTGCATGCACAAGGTCCTGGGTTCAATCCCCAGCACAAACAAACAAACAAAAAAATAAACAAAACTTAGAAAAGAAAAAAATCTTGATCTTATCTCCTAAAGACAGTGACTGTTGACATTTTGGTTGGGTTGCTGTCTGGTGTGATTTCTCTGTGTTTCTTTCATGAGTGTAATCATAATCGATGCTTTTTTCTCCTATTCACTTAACCTACTTTTGAAACTTTGACACCTGTGCCTAATTATATTATTACCAAGCATATATTATTTTATTATATGGACATGTCATAATGAGTTTCTCCTCCTTTGTTAAACATTTGTTTCCAATTCTATATTATAAATATGCAGAAAATATCATTTTGCATAGAACTTCTCTTTTTTCTTTTGTTTAGGTCCCAGGGATTGAACCCAGGGGTGCCTACCACTGGGCTACATCCTAGGCTCTTTTTAACTTTTTAAATTTTGAGACAGGATCTCACTAAGTTGCTCAGCTGACCTCAAACTTGTAATCCTACTGACTCAGYCTCCCAAGATGCTAGGATTACAGGCCTGCACCACAGTGCCTTGTTTATTGTTTCTTTTTTTTTTCTTTTTTTTTTTAAAGCGAGAGTGAGAGACAGAGAGAGAGAGAGAGTGAGAGAGAATTTTTAATATTTATTTTTTAGTTTTAGGCGGACACAACATCTTTGTTGGTATGTGGTGCTGAGGATCGAACCCGGGCTGCACGCATGCCAGGCGAGCGCGCTACCGCTTGAGCCACATCCCCAGCCCTGTTTTTTGTTTTTTAAGGATAGATTTCCACATGGGTGGGATTTCTGGATCAAAGTCTATGAAGTGTTGTTTTTTATTATTTTTTTAAATTTTATTTTATTATTTTTTTTTTAGTTGTATATGGACTCAATGCCCTTATTTATTTTTATGTGGTGCTAGGATCGAACCCAGTGCCTCACACTTGTGAGGCAAGTGCTCTACCACGGAGCTACAGCCCCAGCCCCAAATCTATGAAGTTTTGATACATGTTGCCAACTGGCTTTGCCAAAGAGGATTTGAATTTTCACTGCTGGTTTATGAGAGTACTTTGACCACATCTCTCTTTCTCTAGACTGTAATTAAAAACAAAAACAAAGAAGACCTTTGCCAGTGTGGGAGGTGGAACATAGTGTTCCATTCTTTTTAAATTTATAATTCTTTGGTTAGAAGAGAGAGGGGGCGTAGCTCTGTCTCTTTATTTCTGGGTACTGGCGTTTGAACCCAGGGGCACTTCACCACTGAGTCACATCCTCAGTCCTTTTTATTTTTTATTTTGAGACAGGGTCTCACTACGTTGCGGAGGATCTTGTTAAATTGCCCAGGCTGCCTTGAACTTGATCTTCTTTCCATCAGGCTCCTTAGTCACTGRGATCGGGGCATACAGCCCCGAGCCCAGCTGTCTTCACCCTTTCTTCTGATTTGTAAATATTCTTTATATTTTGGCTAGTGGGGCTTTTTATTCTGTTTTGCTTTCAGTGYTAGGGATGGAACTCGGGGTCTGACATGTACTCAGCACGCGCTCCACCACTCAGCTACACCCCAGCCCCCATTGCAGTGCTATTTAACTTTTTGGACATTTTTTAAAAATTGGGCAGGGACAGTGGCACACACCTGTAATCCTAGCCACTTAGGAGGCTGAGGTAGGAAGATCTCAAGTTCAAGATGAGTCTGGACAACTTAATGAGACCCTGTCTCAAAATAAAATCAAAAGCTGGGGATATAGCTCAGTGGTAGAGCATGAGCTTAGTTTGCATGCAC